GGCGAGGGTGTGAGGGAGGAGCGACGGTGTGAGGGCAGGGCGAGGGCGTGATAGGCGAGGGCGTGAGGGGCGGGGCGAGGGCATGAGGGGCGGGGAGACGGCGTGAGGGCGGGGCGAGGGCGTGAGGGAGGGGCGAGGGCGTGAGGGAGGAGCGAGGGCGTGAGGGCAGGGCGAGGGCGTCATAGGCGAGGGCGTGAGGGGCGGGGCGAGGGCGTGATAGGCGAGGGCGTGAGGGCGGGGTGAGGGCGTGATAGGCGAGGGCGTGAGGGGCGTGGCGAGGGCGTGGCCTAAGGGCGTGAGCGGCGGGACGAGGGCGTGAGCGGCGGGGCGAGGGCGTGAGGGCAGGGCGAGGGCGTGATAGGCGAGGCCGTGAGGGCAGGGCGAGGGCGTGTTAGGCGAGGGCGTGAGGGGCGGGGCGAGGGCGTGATAGGCGAGGGCGTGAGGGCGGGGCGAGGGCGTGATAGGCGAGGGCGTGAGGGGCGGGGCGAGGGCGTGGGCTGAGGGCGTGAGCGGCGAGGTGAGGGCGTGAGCGGCGGGGCGAGGGCGTGAGGGGCGGAGCAAGGGCGTGAGGGGCGGGGCAAGGGCGTGAGGGTCGAGGCGAGGGCGTGAGGGGCGGAGCGAGGGTGAGAGCTGTGAGGTGAGGGCGAGAGCGGCGGGGCGAAGGCGTGAGCGGCGGGGCGAGGGTGTGGCTGAGGGCGTGAGGGGCGGGGCGAGGGCGTGAGGGGCGGGGCGAGGGCGTGAGGGGCGGGGCGAAGGCGTGAGGGGCGAGGTGAGGGCATGAGCGGCGGGGCAAGGGCCTGAGGGCGGGGTGAGGTGAGGGCGTGAGGGGCGGGGCGAGGGCGTGAGCGGCGGGGCGAGGGCGTGAGCGGCGGGGCGAGAGCGTGAGGGGCGGGGCGAGGGCGTGAGCGGCGTGGGGAGGATGTGAGCGGTGGGGTGAGGGTCTGTTGGGGGTGAGGGTGTGAGCTGCAGGGTGGGGGTGTGAGCGGGTACGGGGGTACGGGGGTGAGCGGCCACCCTGCCTGCTGATTGGCATTCTCGAGGTAGCTCCTCAGCTCAAAGGCTGCGAGATGGACCCCCTCTCCCTTCATGGTGCTCAGAGGAGCGGCTTCCAGGTCCTGAAGAAAAACATTCCTGGTGCAGAAGGCAGAGACCATCCGTGGCAGGAGACAGAGAAGGGGTTGAAAACGGGAATTTCCTAAAGTCAACGCTTCTAAGCAAAGGCCTCCGGGCGGGCGCTGCTGGGACACTTTCTCGGCAGCTGAGTTTCTCCAGCTGGAGCCCGAGGGGGCTGGGCTGAGCCCACGGGCCCTGTCTTGTGCCGATAGGAGCTATGCCAGAGTGTGGGCAAGTCCCTTAGTGCCAGGGGCCGGGCGGCACCTTTTGCCCAGCCTTTTCCAGCTGTCGGTGCGTGGCCCAGGATGAGGGACACTCACATACCTCATGAAGCCCTGGGGGCCACAGATGGCCACTGATTGTGGAGAAGGGTGCGCTTCCCCAAGAGCAAAGGAGCCCCAGCGCCCGGGCACAGGCGGGGGACCAGGAAGGGCAGGCGCACATGGGGTGAGGGACCCTGGCTGTGGCTCCTGGGGACACAGGATGGGCAGGGGAAGGAAGGGGGCGTGGGCAAGGGTGGCAGGGCCTGGGCCAGGCGAGATGTGGTTTTATGGAGTGAACAGGAGACGGGCTTGAGTGACCTTTCTGGACAGAAAGCCAAGTTGGGGCTGCACAGCCCGGTGGCTCCCCAAGCCCCTGTTGTCCGGCCCGTGTTGCTGCCAGGGCGTCACTGCTGTGGGAGCACGGCAGTCTCAAGCCCCTGGAGGGTCCTCTCTCATAGTCCGGAGAGGCAGGCAGGAAGGAGGGAGCCGGCTCGGTTGCTCTGTGAGCTGTTCTCACGGCGTGCGCCTGTCGTATCCTGTGGACCTTGTTGGGGAAGGTGGGCGTAAATAACGTTTGGACGTCTGGTTCCAGCAGTAATGATGGGATCTCCTCCTCTTTGGCAGCCCGTGGGCCATTGTGAAGCCAGGTGCCTCCTGCCTGGGGCGGGCCCTGGGCCAACACCCAGGCAGGTGAGGCAGGGATGCAGGCAGCCCGCTGGGGACACAGGTTCACTCCCAACCCGGAGACGGAGCTGTCTCTGCTCTGCCAGGAGCCGGCTTCCTCTGCTTCCTCATCTCCAGGCTGCAGAGAGCAAGTGAGACAGTCTAGGAGCTGGTCCGAAGACACCCAGCCTGGGGGAGGCAGGGCCTGAGCCCAGTACTGAAGGGGACCTGTCAGGGCAGTGGGTCTGGTCCTTCCTGCCCATGGTGCGGTGACAGGCACAAGGCGAACAGGCCCCCCTATCGCGGGCGGGGTCCTCTCCATCTCGAGTGCAGGCTGCATCTGAGGCCCTCTCCCCTCTGGTTCTCTGCGGCATAAGTGCCGTCAGCCTCGGCAGGGGCTGCTGTAGGCTCTGCTTGGTGCTCCATGAGTTTCTTGGGTCTGTGTGCTTACAGTTTTCATCAAATGTGGGTTTGGGCAATGATTTCCTTACTACATGTCTGCTCTCACAGTTTCTCTTCCCTGTGGGGCTCTGTGTAGGTCAGACCCCTTGAGGGTACCCCATGGGTCCCAGGCCCCAGCCCTTTCTTCACTGCTCCCTTGTGGGTGGGTCTGCTGCTGGGCCCCGTGCCCGCCCCCGCCGCCCGCTTCCCTCGGTCCTTCTGCAGTGAACCCACTGGTGCCCTCATCACATCAACTTCCATGCTTTCCGTCTCCAGGATTTCCATCTGGCTCTTTATTCCCCTTTAAAACTTCACTGAAGTGAAATTCACAGAATGTCAAATAACCATTTAGAAGGGCACAATTCTGTAGCAATGAGTCCACGCAGCCCGGTGCGTATCCATGACCTCAGTGTAGTTCCAAAACCTTCCCATCACCCCCAGAGGAAGCCCTGTCCCCAGCAGCATTCACCTCCCACATTCTGTCTCTAAGGGTTTAACCTGTTCTGGGCATTTCCTATCAATAGAGTAATAGGCCATGTGACTTTTTGTGACTGGCTCCTTTCACTACACTGTTTTGAAGGCTCTTCCATGTTGTAACCTGTATCAACGCCCTGTTCCTTTTTATAGCTAAACGATATTCTACCAAATGAATACAACCCATGCTTTTTTTTTTTTTTTTTTTTTTTGAGATGAAGTCTTGTTCTCTCCCCCAGGCTGGCATGCAGTGGCACAATCTCGACTCACTGCAACCTCTGCCTCTCAGACTCAAGCAATTCTCCTGCCTCAGCCTCCCTAATAGCTGGGATTACAGGTGCATGCCACCATGCCAGTAGCCCACTGGTGCCCTCATCACATCAAATTCCATGCTTTCCATGCTGATTTTGTATTTTTAATAGAGATGATGTTTCACCATTTGGCCAGGCTCATCTCGAACCCCTAACCTCCAGTAACCTGCCCATCTCACAAAGTGCTGGGATTACAGGCCTGAGCACCCACACCCAGACAACCCCATGCCTTTAATCCACTCATTGTTTGATGGACACTGGAGGTGTTTACATCTTTCAGGTCTTCTGAGCAGTCCAGCCACAGATATGCACATGCAAATATTTGTCTGAATTCCTGTCCTCAATTCAAGCCACGTTTCTGGGTCACAGGATAAGGAGGTGTCTAACTTTCTGAGAAACTGCCCACCGATTTCCACAGGGGAAGCACCGTTTTACGTCCTGGGTCTTTTCCACACCTGGCACCTTGCTTCTCATCCTGCTCGTGCTTTCTGGATCCTCTTGAGTGTGTAGAGACATTTATACCGGGTCTTTAACATCCTGAGCTGCCAAGGCCATCATCGCTTCATTTCTGGGTCTGTTTCGGTCACTCGATTTTTCTCCTGGTTACGGCTCATATTTTCTTGCTTCATTGCATGCCTGGTAATTGTTAACTGGATGTCATATTTACTTTGTGGATTTCGCTTTGTTGCTTTGTTGAGGTGGCAGCTGGCCTCCAGGATGACTTCCCTTGTGTGACGCCTTCCACAGAGTGTGGGCTGGACCAAGTGACCCAATTCTAATAGAAATGACAAGGAGGAAGGATGGCGCATGAATCAGACACGTAGTCCTCGTGCGAGGACGTAGAATGTACTACGTGCCTGTAAGCATGGCGTGTCTAACAGCTACACAGGACAGGGCTTAGCAAAGTTATTAGCACACTTATTCTTTAACAAAAGGAAAGTTTAAAAAGGAACTTAGTTCTACTTCCCACAATTTCCTCCTCTATTTTATAATTTTCCTTTTAAAACTTTCTTTTTTTTTTTTTTAACATATCTTGGCTTAGTTGGTCTGCCTGAGTTGTTAAAAGATGAAGCTTCTCTCTCTTTCCTCTTTATACTATTCTTTCCTTAGTTTCACTTTTTCTCTTTCATACACACTGTCTTACGATTTTTTAACGTACCTCAATCCTTTTTGTAAACATTTCACTGGCCCATTTTGGAGCCACTCAAAGGATGCAGTTCTCAGTGTTGGGAGAGAGCGGGTTTCTGTGCGCCCTTACTAAGGTTTGGTATTGTCCCCACTTTTCGTCTCAGCTGTCCTAATAGCTGGGCTGTGATACCTCACCGTGGCCTTAATTGGTATGTCCTTGATGGTCAGTTAATTTGAGCATCTTTTTAGGTGATTATTTGCCACCCATAGATCCTCTTGGGGAGATGTTTCTTCGTGGTTTTTGCCCATTTTCTAAGTGGGTTTTATTCTTGCTCTTGAATTTCCAATGTTGTTTTTATCTTCCAGACACTAGTCCTTTATTGTTTTGTTGGATATGAAACTTTAAAATGTTTTCTCCTAGTTTCGTATCTTGTCTCGTCATCCCTTTTTTTTTTTTTTTTTTTTGGACAGCGTTTCACTGTTGTTGCCCAGGTTGGAGTGAAGCGGCACGATCCTGGCTCACTGCAACTTCCGCCTCCTGAGTTCAAGTGATTCTCCTGCCTCAGCCTCCTGAGGAGCTGGGATTACAGGCATGTGCCACTATGCCTGGCTAATTTTGTATTTCTAGTAGAGATGGAGTTTCACCATGTTGCTTCCCTGTGGGAAAAGGGCTTACAATATAGACCACAGGACAAAGTCTGGAAGTTCACTGACACCTGACAGCATCCTCCACTTCCAGCCCGTCTTGCCTGTGAGTCAGAGAGGAACAGCGCTAGCAGGCAGCGAGCCCCTGCCCAGAGGCTGGCATGTGAGGGGCACAGCTGTACACACCTGGGCATGGCTGAGCAGAAGGTGCAGGTCAGGATTCGGACCATGCAGACAGCTGCCCACTGGCACAACATCTGTGGCATCCCAGGGCTGCCATGGGGCTCTCGGGCCCTCTGCCTGCACCACAGGCCATACCCCTGCCCTGGACACAGCTGTTCTCACTGCTGGCCTCTGACCCGACATTGTCCAGAAGCCCCGACCCAGAAGGTGCTCCCACCACTGGCTGCCCACCTGGACCTGATCCAGGCCCCTCCCACCTGAGGCCCTGCCAGGAACTGCCCGGCTGGACACAGAGGAGGTTCCTTCGTGGGCACAGGGAAGAGCCTCCCATGGTCCAGTGGAGGAAGCTGCCCGTGGGGTGAGGATGAGTCATGGGTTTGAGGAATGGCATGGCGAGGCTGTGGGCGGGGCTGCTGTCTGCCCTCCTCCTACATCAGGCCCCCGAGCCCACACTGCCTCGGCCTCCCTCTCACTCCAGAGCTCAGAGCCACCCACAGCCACAGTCATGCCGTGCCTCCTGTACACCCTGGGTATGGCCCTGGTCTGTAGCATCCAGGCCAGTGACATCCCCCAGACCGAGCAGGACCTGGAGGTCTCAAAGGTTTGAGGCGGGGGAAGGGGGCACGTTACTGTGGGAGGTCTGGGCCGGGTGGGAGCTGCAGGCCGGCGGGAAGCCCAGGATCTCAGAAACCTACAGGGAGGCAGAATGGACGCCATGATGTCACGAATCCCTCAGCCCTGCTCTCCATCTTTAGGGTGGTCTTTCTGGTTTCCCAGCATCCCAGGTGACTCCCTCAATATTTGGACTTCAGGAACGCTCCTGAGTTAGCACACACTGGTGGTTTTAAGTACAGGAAATTCCTGTAGCCCACCGTCTGATAGACAGCAGATGGCCATCCAGTGCTCACTGCACCCATCCCTGTTAGACTCAGCCCTGCCCGCACGGGGTGCAACGAGAGCCACAGTGGGGCAGGACTCCCGTGCAGCTGAAGGCCCCCTCAGTTGGCAGGGACCTGGCACTTCATGGCCATGGTGAGCAGCAACCTCTCCCTCCTGGGACCCAGGGATGCCCCTCTGAGGATCTACATCACCTCCCTGATGCCCACCACCGAGGGCAACCTGGAGATCATTCTGCACAGATGGTGGGTTCCTCGTCATTGAGACTGGGGCTGGCAGGGGACTCAGTACTCCCCCATAGGGGTCCAGGACTGGGTGGGGTGGGCAGAACTGGGCTCAGCCCCAGGCCTTTTCTGACAGCCAGGAGCTTCACCGTGGCCCCTCCATGAGGGTGGTGTGGAAAACCGGGGTGACAGACGGTCCCTGTCCCCTCAGGGTCCCTGTCCCCTCAGATCCCCTGCCCCAGGCTCTGAGTCAACAGCCGACCCCACAGAGCAGCCTCAGGTCAGACTGAGAAGAAGATCTGGGCGGCTGCGGGCTGCGATGCTCCTGGGACCCAGGGAAGTTCCTGCAGTGACCTGATTTGAGGAGTGACACTGAGGGCAACTCCAATTCAAGCGGTCACCACATTCTACTGTTGCCGCCTTTCAGGGAGAACAACAGCTGTGTTGAGAAGAAGGTCCTAGCAGAGAAGACTGAAAATCCAAAGAATTTCAGGATTAACTGTGCAGGTCAACTGAGCAGGTCCCCGGTCCCCAAGGGCTGGCTCAGTACTGGCATGCTAGTCACGGTCTCCCAGAGGCGGCTCTGCTGGAGGGTGGGGCATGGGGCCTGTCTTGTCTCAACTCTCTCCGCTTCAGGGAGTCAGAGTGTTTGCTCCACTCAAGCTGATGCTGAGCCCAGAGGCATGTTTTGCCTGGAGGGGAAGGGGAAGCACTGACTCTTGGCATGACAGTGACTGGACGTACGTCTGCACTGTGCCCGGGCACAGGGGACAGGCGCTGTCTGTGCACTGTTCACTCCAGCCTCACAGCAGGTCAGGGAGGCTGCAAGTCAGTAAATGGGCAGACAGATAGCTGGGCAGATGAGCAGGTGGGCAGGCAGGCAGGTGGATAGGTGAACAGGTGGACAGGTGAGCAGGTTGGTAGGTGAGCAGGTGAGCAGGTGGGCAGGTGGTAGGTGGGCAGGTGAGCAGGTGGGTAGGTGAACAGGTGGTAGGTGTATTGGTCGGGTGAACAGGTGGGCAAGTGAGTTAGTGGGTAAGTGAACAGGTGAGCAGATGGCTAGGTGAACAGGTGGGCAGGTAAATAGGCAGATAGGTGAACAGGTGGGCAGGTGAACAGGTGAAGAGGTGGGTAGGTGGGTAGGTAAACAGGTGGGCAGTTGGGTAGGTGAACAGGTGGGCAGATGAACAGGTGAAGAAGTGGGTAGGTGGGTAAGTAAACAGGTAGGCAGGTGAACAGGTGTATAGGTAAACAGGTGGGCAAGTGGGCAGAGGAACAGGTGAACAGGTAGGTAGGGGAACAGGTGGGCAGGTGGGTAGGTGGTTATATGGGCAGTTGGACAGGTGGGTAGGTGGTTATGTGGGCAGGTAGGCAGGTGGGCAAGTGGGTAGGGGAGGTAGCAGGTGGGCAGGTAGGTAGGTAGGGGAACAGGTGGGCAGGTGGGCAGTTAGGCAGGTAGGGGAACAGGTGGGCAGGTGGGCAGGCGGGCAGGTGGGCAGGTGGGCTGCTGTTCCCATGGGCCTGGCTGCCTCCTGCTCACTTTGCAACATTTTGTTCTGTTTTGTTAATTATTATTTTTTAAAAAGACAGAGGTGGTCAGGGACTGGGGTCTCTTATCCCTTCCCGGGCAATGGGCCTCAAAGATTTAAAGGAAGGACACAGAGGGAATGTCTTGTGCAGTTTTTCAGCAAATACAGTTTGCTTCTCATGCTCGGGACTTGCCTGAGGCCTTGCTGACCCCGCTTGCCCTCCCCAGAATCGAGGCACTCTGCAAGGTCCATTTCTTCTCCCTCTTCCCGCCCCCTGCCCTGTTCCTGTGCGGTCCCCCAGCGTCCTCACCCATCTTGACTTCTCGGTTGGAATCTGTCAGGTCAGAGCCCCTGCCTGCCGCGTCTGCCTCCGCACTGCACGCCTGGGCTCTCCTTCAGCCGGGGCTCCACGTCCCTCCACGCCACCTCTTCTCTCCTCCCTCTGGCTTCCCTGACCACGGCCCACGGCCCACAGTGGTGGTAGACGAGGAAGCCACTTAGTTTGGTGGGATGTCCTCACATCTGCACAAGACTCTGCTGGGACGGAGGCTTCCTCTTCCTCTCGATGCTTCTCTTCTTTCCCAGATATGGCGGTGAACGAGGCTACGCTGCTGGAGACTGACTATGACAAATTCCTGTTTCTCTGCCTGAAGAGCACCGCTGCCCCCAGGCAGAGCACCATGTGCCAGTACCTGGGTGGGTCTCAGAGGGCATGAGCTCAGCGTGGGTGAGAGGTCACGGCTACGTCCATGGGAACCCTGGGGAGATGACAGCTAGCTTCCTGTCCACCTCGGTGCCTGGGGGCTGAGTTTTTCTTTCTTGGTTTTTTGTTTGTTTGTTTGTTTTGTCTGAGACAGGGTCTTGTTCTGTTGCCCAGGCTGGAGGGCCATGGCACTGTCTCAGCTCACTGCAACCTCCGCCTCCCAGGTTCAAGCAATTCTTGTGCCTCAGCCTCCCCAGTAGCTGGAGTTACAGGCACATGTCGCCATGCCTGACTAAATTTTGTATTTTTTGGTAGAGAAAGGGTTTCACCATGTTGACCAAGGTGTTCTTCAACTCTTGACCTCAAGTGGTCCACCTGCCCCGGCCTCCCAAGGTGTGAGATTATAGGTGTGAGCCATGGCACCTGGCCAGGCTGTTTTACTCCAGTGGTATCCAGTCCTCTGACACTGCATCAGAAACTGGGCAGCAGGAAGCTGATATGGGGCCAGCGGGGCGGTCACCAGTCAAGGGGCTGGGCTTGGTGAAAAGATTAATACTCACTGGACATCCAGTCAAAACACCCTTAAACCTATAAAGTTCTTGTCCAAACTAAGGCTGGGAATGCTGAATCAGGCACATGGGCGCAGCCCTTCCCGGTGTTTCTGAGCGCAATGTTGCCTCTGGGGTCACACAGGTGTCTTCTTGATCAGCCTTAGCCATGCTTGGTGAGAGCTGGACACTGGGGAGGGGGGCACTGCGCTCCTGTGACCCTGTAGACACCATCCTGAGCTGTGTGGACCCCAGCGCTGCCCAGAGCGGAGCAGAGGGGGCCCAGCTGAGAAGTGGGAGCTGGGGATGGGGAGCCTGGAAGCCAGGTGGACAGAGCCCCGGAGACCACCCTGGGAACCTGCTCCAGACCAAACTCTGCCTGACCTGGGAGCACAGGCGCTGTCTGTGCACTGTTCACTCCAGTGTTCACTCCTGTCCTCCCTCCCTGGCACGGCCTCTGGAGCTCCCCAGCTCTCATCCAAGCCTGAGGGGCCCAAGACTGAGCCAGCCTCCCCCACAGCCAGATCCCTGGAAGCAGATGCTGAGGTCCTGAAGGCATTCTTCCGCGCTTTCAAGACCCTGCCCGTGCAGATATGGTTCCTCCTGGAATGGTACCAGGTGCCAGGTGAGCTCTGCTCAGGACAGGCCCAGCCTTGGCTAGAGGAAAAGCAGCCTCTTTCTCAGCCCGAGCCCCCCGCTGGCTCTGGAGGACTCAGGTCACTCCTTCTTGGCCCCTCCCCAGTTCTCCCCCTGCATCCTGGGGTGCAGAGGCACCTGGGGTGGGGTCCCGCCCCCTCCCGTCATCCTCCCACCTCCTCTCCAGCCCTGGGGCTGCTGTGTCCCCAGCTGTCTCTTCTCTCTCTGATGCCCCCACTGCCCCCTCTCCTCCCACAGAGCCGTGCCCTATCTAGGAGAGCTCCTGTCTGGCCCTTGCTGGGTAACGTATCCGCCTCGCCCACAGCCTGGGGCTGCCTCTCTGGGCCCCTGGGAATGACCCCACTGTGTCCAGTTCAGGGCTGAGCCTGCAGGAATGAGCTGGGGTCTGGTCTTGTGATTCCAGACAGCCAGGCTGCTGACTTTGGACAGGCTCCCCGTCCATGAGCCTGGCCTGTGTCTTGCAGGCGTTGTATTAGTCACCAGCTCGTGCCCTACAGTCAAACCTCATGCTTTTTGGGGGGTTTGGGGTGTTGGTTGGAAGTGGTGGGGCTGGAGGAGGAGGGAGGATGGTTTCATGGGAGGGCATGAGAAGCTGGGGACGTGCAGGGCCAGGTGTCACTTTTTTTATTTTTTATTTTTTTGAGACGGAGTCTCACTCTATCGCCAGGCTGGAGTGCAATGGTGCGATCTTGGCTGGCTGCAGTCTCTGCCTCCCGAGTTCAAGTGATTCTCCTGCCTCAGCTTCCTGAGTAGCTGAGATTACTGGCTCCTGCCACCATGACCATCTAATTTTTATATTTTTAGTAGAGACAGGGTTTCACCATGTTGGCCAGGATGGTCTTGATCTCTTAACCTCATGATTCACCCGCCTCGGCTTCCCTGTGCTGGGATTTCAGGGCCACATTCTTAAGGGGGTGTCCTTGAGCCCACCCACATCCTTCCAGGGTTCCCCCAAAACACCCTGTTCCTCTTCCCTCTACTAAAGTGACCCGTGAAACCCAACGGCTCACCTCTACCTCCAGGAAGACCAGACCCCTGCCCAGCCACAGCTCCAGCATTGTATGACCTCCTCCTGCCCTTTCAAAGAATGTCCACAGCACAGAAGACGACGACGTGGCCACCGTGTTCCGGTCCCTTCCTGCTGCACACCTGCACCTCGGGCGTGGGGAGGCTGCTTCCTGGGACCGTGTCTGGCAGAGATGATTAATAAACCCATACCACATGCTCTGCCTGGACCACTGTCACTGCCGGGTGTGGGATTCGAGGGCCAGGGCCGTGGGGTGGGCCCAGCCCACCTTCTGGCAGAGCCAGAGCTGCCACGAACCCAGGGCAGCGTCTGCTGGAGAAAATACCTCAAGTTTCTTATCTACAGGATGAAAGATTTGTGAAATGTCTAGAAAAATCAAACCAAACCACTCTGTCAGAATTGATGAGCCCAGAGGAAACTCATAGTCTTAACACTGAAATAGGTTCGCAGGAAAGAGTTAAAATCAACGAATCTGTTTCCAGCTCTTGTTAGAAAAAATCATTAAAATAAGGAAAGTAAGAAAACAGAATTAACAAAAATCAAAGTCAGAGAGTCAAAAATGACAAAATCAGAGAAACTTATCCAGTTCCTGCACCTGTGCCCCATGGTGGGGAGGGGGTGGGCATGCTGGGATTTAGCTCACCTGTCAGAAACACCTGGAAACAGTTCTAGCAACTGTCAATGAGCTGATTGAGAGGAAACTGATGAAAAGAATCATAAGGAGTTTGGTGTCTGACCCACAATATATTTTTTAGAAACCAAAATGGGTGATTTCAGGGCAAATGTAAGTGTCCAAAACAGATCAGAGAAGGCTAGAGATGAAGTAACTCGGGTCCCTTCCCAAGGCAGACAGACAGACAAACCACACAGCCAGGAGTCTGTGTCCCAGCCCGGCCCCCGACAAGGGCCAGGCAAGGGTTGCTCCTTTTGGGAACAGACGAAACTAGGCAACATGGACAGTCCCAGGCGTGGGGAGGGCGCAAAGCCTCCACACTCATTTATAATGCTGGGGAAACGTCTCCATCAAAACCCGAGAGAGACGGCACCGCAAAGCCAGCCCCTGCCGGGAGTAAGTAGCGCTCATGCAGAACTAAGGAGCTTCCGTGCTGTCTGTGTTGCAAACAGGCCATTTCCACCCAGGTGCAGTGGTTCTCACCTGTCACCCCAGCACTTTGGGAGGCCAAGGCGGGCGGATCACCTGAGGTCAGGGGTTCAGGACCAGCCTGGCCAACATGGTAAAACCCCATCTGTACTGAATATTAAAAAATTAGCTGGTGTGTTCACAGATGACCTGAAATCCCGGCTACTCTGGAGGCCGAGGCAGGAGAATTGCTTGAACCCAGGAGGTGGAGGTTGCAGTGAGGTGAGATCGTGCCACTGCACTCCAGCCTGGGCGACAGAGCGACGTCAACACAGACCTTGCGTCTGATAGGAAACATTTACAACCTATTCTCTCTGAAGCCTGCTATCCGGAGTCTTCATCTGCAGGAGAAAAGTTTGGCCTCCACAACCCCTTATCGTAAGCCAGACATTCCTTTTGGCCTCACAAGAGGGCACCTGCCATGGCCCCTGGCCTGGCTCCCCTTCTGCTGATAGAGGTGAGGCTATCATGGGACCAGGACTCCTGACTGTCCCCTGAATATCTCTGTCTAGTTTGCTTTGCGACAAAACCCCACGCCTCTCTCACTGTTATTTTCCCTCTCTCTATTTCTCTCTCTCTCTTTTATTTTTTTGAGACGGAGTCTCACTCTGTTGCCCAGTCTGGAGTGCAGTAGTGTCATTTTGGCTCACTGCAACATCCACCTCCCAGGTTCAAGCAATTCTCCTGCCTCAGCCTCCCAAGTAGCTGGGATTATAGGCATGCGCCACCATGCCCAGCTAATTTTTGTATTTTTAGTAGAGAAAAGATGTTGCCACATTGGCCAGGCTGGTCTCGAACTCCTGACCTTGTGATCCACCCACCTCAGCCTCCCAAAGTGCTGGGATTACAGGCGTTAGCCACCACTCCTGGCCTATTTCTCTCTATCTCTCTCTCTCTCTCTCTCTCTCTCTCTCTCTCTCTCTCTCTCTCTCTCTGAAATGGGGTCTTACTCCATTGCCCATGGCTCAAACATGGCCCATTGCAGCCTCAAACTCCTGGGCTCAAGCAGTCCTCCTGCCTTAGCCTCCCATGTAGCTGGGACTATGGGACTACAGGCATACCCCACCATGCCCAGCTAATTTTTGTATTTTTCTATAGAGACAGGAGTCTCACTTTGTTGTCCAGGCTGGTCTTGAACTCCTGGGCTCACGTGATCCTCCCACCTCGGCCTCCCAAAGTGCTGGGATTCAGGTGTGAGCCGCAGTGCCCGGCCTCCTTCCCTCTTGCTCCTTCTTCCACCCTCAGCTGTTTCCCAGTTAATTCCACATCCTCAGAAATCTGTGCCATGCACCGATGGTGTCTGCTCAAACACTGGAGGAGTCGGGAAAGGCTCGGCCTCCCTCCCGCCACTCCAGTGACTACTGCATCTCCCTCTGAGTGGAAGGATGGCGGCAGGCCCTGAGCTGGGTGCAGGACAGGGAGCTCTGTAAAAAGGAGATGGCTCCGCCTCTGCCACCGTAACGGATCCAGTTTTTAGTAGACCGGAGTTGTCTAAAAGTTCCTGATATTTGTTGGGGGGTGTCAGCTTCACGGGCCCCGAGCATGTTTGTGAGCTGAGGGGGTTTCCCAGGCTCTCACTGCCATCCAGGCCCCAGGCGGAGGAAAAGGAGGTCTCTGGCCACTCTTCTTCCATCTGGAGACTTCTGGGAAGGGGAGAACCTGCTTCCTTGGCTTTCCTGGTTTCCGGTGCGGCTGCACCCTGCACTCCCAGCCCCGTCCATGCCACCCGGGCCTCCGTTTCTGTAGCCTCTGCTGCTCCCTGGCATCCGCATGGTTGCCCCCAGGCCAGTCGGTGCGGGGGCCCTTCCTGAGCTGCAGAGAGCTGGGGGAAAGAGGTGTGGCCACAGCGGGCTGCGTTCAGGGTCTTTAAAGCCACCCCAGCCACCGCTGGCTCTCAGCCCTCAGGGAGCCACTTCCCCTGCCGGCACCAGGCTCCCGGGTCCTGGGAGGGAGTCTCTGCGTCTGGCTACTGGTGGAGACCTGAGCCCAGCTCCAGGGTCCTCAGTCCTGCCCCTCGTCCTCCGCAGGCTCTCGCCACATTCCACCTGTGTCCAGGGCCCTCGGCCCATACATCCGCCCGGATCCCAGCCTACCCCAGGTCATGTGTCCCCGCCGAGGCCAGCACCCAGCACCGCCCACAGAAACTTATAAACCTTGCTAGCTTTGCCTCTGTTGTCTCTGCTTGTTGCCTCGGCGGGGAGGTCGGGGTGCTCTGCTCAGACGGGCTGCAGCACGTCCTAAAGCCAGACCCTTCCCAAAGAAGAGAGGAGCCCGGCCCTGGTAGGCTCCGTCTGCCAGGAAGACACAGGCAGTGGGGCTGGGTCCCAGCCTGTCCTCCCTCCTTGGCTCTCGTACCAGGCACATGATACGGGAGTGACACACGGGACAGGGGTGCCCCCAGGAGTGACACATGGGGACCACCGTGCCCCCAGGGAATGTCAGGTGGGGATGGTGGTACCTCCAGGGAGTGACACACAGGGTTGGTGGGTGCCCCCAGGAGTGACACATGGTGACAGTGGTGCCCCCAGGAGTGACAGGTGGTGACAGTGGTGCCCCCAGGGAGTGAGATGAGGGGACATTAGTGGCAGGGGGAGGGGTCAGGGCTGCAGTGACCTTCTTTCCCCAGAGCAGACAGCCCCACACGGCTGCAGCATCTACTGGGTCCCAGGGCTACCTGGGAGCTCTCTGGCCCTCTGCCTGCCCCACAGGCCATACCCCTGCCTCCGGGCACAGCTGTCTGCAGTGCTCTCTCCCACCTGCCATTGTCCTAGAGCCCCAACCCAGGAGGTGCTCCCACCACTGGCTGCCAGTGTGGACCCAGCCCCTCCCACCTGAGGCCCTGCCAGGAACTGTCCGGCTAGACACAGAGGGGGTTCCCACGTGCATGCAGGGAAGAGCCTCCCATTGTCCCAGTGGAGGCAGCTACCCTCGGCTAAGGATGAGTCACAGGTGAGGCTGTGGGCGGGGCTCCTGTCTGCCCTCCTCCTACATCAGGCCCCCGAGCCCACAGGGCCTCGGCCTCCCTCTCACTCCAGAGCTCAGAGCCACCCAAAGCCGCAGCCATGCTCACCCTGGGCATGGCCCTGGTCTGTAGCATCCAGGCCAGTGACATCCCCCAGACCCAGCAGGACCTGGAGGTCTCAAAGGTTTGAGGCGGGGGAAGGGGGCATGTTACTGTGGGAGGCCTGGGCCGGGTGGGAGCTGCAGGCAGGTGGGAAGCTCAGGATCCCAGAAACCTACAGGGAGGCAGAATTCGGCCACAGTGTGAGGGGCCACCTTGGGCCCCCAGATGGAGAAGCGCTTGTTCCCCTCTGACCACCTGGGTCCTGACGCTCAGGCCGCCCCTTCATTCCCGGATGCAGCAGCCTATACGGATTGATGGGGCGATGCCCCTGGTGGGAGCTCAGGTGGGGCCGCCCTGGGTTAGGCAGAGAGGAGGGCACTCTTCCTGCAGGTACGCGGGAGCCTCCAGCCAGGGACTGGCGCGTGGCAGGCGGCTCTCAAACACGCCCTGGATCCCGGCTCATTGCCTTCCACACGCTTCCTTGAACAGTTCTGCGTTGGGGCCACACAAAGCTGAAAATGACCTCATAGGATAAATCAGGAATAACCCACCCCTCTCCTGTCCCCCGGAAGCATTTGCACAATATCAAACCACCTGGCTCCTCAAATATGGCAGAACTCACCCCTAAAACATAACCCTCTGGGCTAATGATTTCTATGTGAGAACATTTTGAATCACTGACTTGATATTTTCCATTTTTATAATATTACCTACCCTTTCATTTTTTCTGGGAATTTGTTCATTTGGTCTCAATTTTAAAATGTATTCACATCAAGTTGTTGCTCAGAGTAATCTCTCTCCCTTCTATTTTGACTGTATCTGCAGTCACATTATCTTTTCCTTTTGGAAAAAAATAAAAGACTAGTAAACTTGATAAGCCATTAGCAGGACTGACAAAAATAAAAAGAAAGGACACAGATCACCCATATTCGGGATGAACCCCGGTCCTGCCGTCATGAAAAGGTACTAAGGGAATATGAGCGCCTTGA